GGCCTTTTTGTGATTAATTTCTCTTGCAGCTTCCTCAAAGAGCTCAAGTAAATTAGTTAAACAGGATCTTTCCTCTCCTAAATCAATGTTGGCTATGCCTCAGAATGTTATTTGAATCCAGGTAATCTACCATTTTTACTTTGATTATAGGTTCCATTTCTTTTCCAGTTATGCAACGGTCATCTGTGGTAATGCAGAACCGAGATGCATCGCTGAACATGGTACGACGCCATAATGTGTCTATGAGGCATCCTCTGTGTCTGGTGACTAGACGTGCATATTTATCATAGCTCATGAAGGGGCCGCACACAAATAACCATATCCCCATCGCATATAGCGGAGACACACAAGGTCTGACACTGGACTGTATGGTACACACATGATCACTACTTACACAGAACACGGAAACACGTGAGTAACCTGCACAGATCGGGGCACACACAGGTAAACACACTTATCTAAACCAAAGAATTTACGGCAAATACAAACAGGCTGTGTACACGGCAGGCAAGCATGTCAGACATGCTAATAGGCTCTGCTATGCGGAGCCATGTTACCGGCACTACAATTATTATTATACATACAAAAACCCCTTGGAAGTGCAAAGAATGCAACGTGCACGTTTGTCTTCAACCAGACAAAGACTGTTTTGAAGCTTGGCATCCTGATCAGGACTGACAATTTATTGTTCTATTATTCATGTATTATTCCAGTAATATCATGTGATTGCAGTTTATATTCATCAACGTTTAATCTGTTGCATGTTAGAAACTGTATAAAGGCTACTCTTGTCTCTTCTTCTCTTAAAGTTCACACTACCTTTCCAGACTGATGGGTGTGGGGGGCAGTGACAGTGACATCCCAGGCTGATGGGTGTGGGGGGCAGTGACAGTGACATCCCAGGCTGATGAGTATGGGGGGCAGTGACAGTGACATTCCAGACTGATGGCCCATTGACAGTATGCAAGCTATTACAGGTGTGGTGACACCTATCTCATCAATGTTCATTGTGTAGGTCTCTGACTCTGACTTGAAAAATATAGTGTCACTCTAAAAGTTCCAACACTTTAGTAATCAAACCATTTGAAATTTCATTGTCTAATTTACCTGTGTACCTTACCCCTTAATGCCTCAGAGCTCGAATGGCTAGAAACGTTTATAATGTGATTTTTTTACAATTTCTCAGCACCTCTGACAATAGGTTTTTGATAAGTATATGCTTGGGATAAATGTTTTGTAGATAAGTGAAATATTTAAAATTGCCGAGGCATGTCAGACTACCTCAAAAGTAGCTGAGAGGCCTCAGACTCCAGAGGGTTAAATGTATATAAATTAGGGCTGTCAAAATTAACTGGTTAACGCGGATTAATCCATGATCATGATTAATCTGGTTAAAATTTTTAACGCAATTAACCCATCTGCAGCGCAGAATGATTCAAAATCACT